CAGCCGCGCAGCCCCTGCGTGGCCGCAGCGACTTGCCCGCCTGGGCTGATGCCATGGACGCCGGCATCGAGGCCATGCAGCGGTGAGCGCCGGGGGCCCGCGGGCACCGTCCCCGCTGCGCGGCTGAGCCGTGCCCTGCTAACCCTGCTCTGCTCTGTGCAGCTACGGAGGAGCCGCTCCGGGCGACAGGACCATGGTGAGCGCTGCCATGCCCAGACCCGTGGGACACGGATTCACGCTGCTGCCGGGGGCTCTGCGGGCTGCCAGGCCTGCCCGAGGCCCTGCTGCTTCCCAGCCCTCTTCCCTTGTCCCTAGCTGGACTCGCTGTGTGCCGCCAGGGAGGCCCTGCAAGGCCTGCGCGCCGCTGGCGCCAACCTATTGCAAGTACTGAGCACGGCTGTGCAGGTAGGAGGGCACAAGGGAGCCCAAGGTGGGCAAGGGGGAGCCCGGCACAGCGTGACAGCCTGGGGGTGGCAAGGGCAAGCGTAGGAATTGCCATGCCGGGTTGCTAGGATGTGCAGTATATCCAGGCTGGGAAGCACCGGCCAGGGGAGCCGGAGCAAGGAGCCGCGGGGCCGGCCTGGCACGGTGCCAGGGGCCGGCCCACGTCCCAAGTGGGTCCCGTCTGCTTGGCAGAGCGCCGAGGCTGCGGCGGAGGCCACCAAGCACATGGCGGCTGGGGCTGGCAGAGCCAGCTACATCAGCTCGGCCCGGCTGCTGCAGCCGGACCCCGGCGCGGTGGCGGTGGCCGCCGTGCTGCGGGCGCTGCTGGAGGGGCTGCAAAGCTGAGGGGTGCTGCCCGCCTGGCAGCCCCTCCTGCGCCCAGGCTCTCCAAACCCTGCAATAAACCTTTGCGTAGCCCAAACCTGGTCCCAAGGGTTTGGCCCTGCAAGGAGGGGACCGAAGGGATCTGAACTGGCAGCCATGGAGCCGTCCCTCGGGAGGGGGAGGGAACCAGGGCATGTGGGCAGCCCTGGGGTCCAGTATGAGCATGACTGTGCTGAGGAGAACGAGGAACCTGCTGGGCCCGGCAGGAGCCCTCGCACATGGACCCTGCGGGGGTGCCCTGGAGGGGAAACCACGGGGTGCGCATGATCCCAGACACGAGGCCTGGAAGAGGTTCCGGAAACAACAAAAAATAGGAACTGGGACAGGGACAGAGCCCAGAACCGCTGGCTTATGCCAGGGCCTGCCCGGGGTTCAGCTGCATTGGTGCCACAGGGCCGGGGGGTGGAGGTGCCGCACAGGGTACCACGGTGGGCATAGGGACCTGGGGACAAGCCCTGGGATGTGGCCTGCTCAAGTCTCACATACCAGCGGAGCTCCAGCTACAGGCAGCAGAAGGGAGGACCTGTATGAGCCTGAGAACCCTCCCTCCCCAAGGGGACATGGAGCGGCTGAGGAGCACCGGGACCCAGGCCCCCATCTGTCCTGCTCCTGCACACCAAAGGATGTGAGAGCAGGTGCATTGCAAAAGCCACTGGTTTATTACCCTTCCACCATGACGTTCGGGGTGTGCTGCCACCCCTTGACCCCGCGGGAGCTGGCTCCTTGTGCTGAGCGAGTGCAGGGGTGGCGCTCCCGTGGGCTCCCTTCACGCTGCCGAGCTATCCCTGCGACAGGCAGGAGGCTGGCGCGGCCCGGCT